TGACGGTGTTGGTGATGATGATGCTGATGATCATGATGGTGATGATGATGATGATGATGATGATGATGATGATGTTGATGATGATGATGATACCAGTGATGCTGGTGATGGTGATGATGATGACGAGAGGAGGAGCAGCAGAAACAGGCAGTTCGGAAGGATCGAGATCGAAGAGGTCAAGGGGATCGAACGCCGAGGAACACAAAAACCTCAACAGGCGGAACAACCGCTAAACCAGAGGCGCAAGAAGCAGACGGAAAAGAACGGGAATGCCTTTGAATCGGTCAGTCCCTATGGACTCATCAAGCTGCAAAACGTACACAGCACACGATACGAGTAGGAGACCTCAAAACCCTCCAGCCCCCATTTGGGGGCACATGGCTGCGAAGTTGTCCGTTGGACTGCTGCTTTGTTGTATTTGCTCTGTCGTTCGCTTGATGTCCCTTGCCTCTCCAGCCCTGTTTCCTCTCCGCTGTCTGCTAGCAGTCCTGGGGAAATCTGAACTAGATTGCCTTGGGATTCCAACAGGGACGGCACCTGACGACCAGGAGGGCCCAAAAGGCATGGCCCCAAGAGGCCTCAAAGAGAGTCTGAAGAGCATATGACGGCCGAATGCAGCCCTAAGATGCCATTTGGACGGCCCAGCGGGGGCCCCAAGACAGACGCATACGAGAGAGCGCAAAAGAGATTGGAAAATTGAGTGGTCTTCGATGTGATTCGACTGTCCCATGGCTTGCTCCTGGGATATCGAAGGACTAGCTGCAAGACGGCCCCAACGGCCCCCGAGATTGCCCAAGACGCGAGGGTGGCCCCAAAGGCCTGAGATGTCTCCCAGAGCACCCGGGATGGCCCAACAAAGCCCGAAGATGCCCCTACGAGGCCCCCGACTACGAGGCCCCGAGATGGGCCCCTACGAGGCCCTAAAGCCCGAAGATGTCCCCACGAGGCCCCCAAGATGGGCCCCTACGAGGCCCAAGAGCAGCCCCAGCACTCCCAAGGTGGCCCGAAGGTGGGACCTTCCAAGAGGGCCCCAGACCACCCGAAGCTGTCCCAGTGTTCGAGCAGGGAAGGGATCGACTACAGAATTGATGCACCCCAAACTTGATTTGTCCGCCGAGTCTACGAACAAGTCCGTAGAATGCTCCACAGATCCACGGAGCATTCTGCGTCTTGGGGTAAGTCAATTATGTAGTCGATCCCCTATTCGAACCGTAGGCGCGACATGCCTCAGCCTCAGGGGCTGGCTGGCAACAGCGGGCGCGGCCCTCTGGATTATCCGCCGCACCATTGTCTTCAACGACGGCGTGCTTGGCGTGCCAGACTTCATACCTCGTGGGACTCGCCAAACCTCCCCAGGGGTCATTCGATGTCATTCGCCGCCTGCCGCGAGGTACACCGTATCTCGTTGGCGTTTAGGGTCATGTGGCCTCCAGGACGCCTCCAAAGTTGCCCCAGACGGCCATGGCGACGATGGCTCCTTGGTGGCTCCAACATGTCCCAAGTGGATATCAAAAGCGCACAAGAGGCCGCCAAGACGCTCGAATAGGGCTCCAAGAGGCTCCCCAGAGGGTCCCCGAGAGCCAAATAACATGGAACATCAGATGTCGACGGGCCTCAAGACAGCCCGACAATATCCCAGGAGGCCATGGAGACGGCGCCAGAGGGCTGGGGCCCCCAGTAGGCCCACGGTAGGGCCCACGACGAGCCAAGTAAAAGCCAAAGAGGGCCCCAACATGGCCCACAAGAGCTCCGACAGGCCCTTAAGAGAAGTCCAAGATGGTCCAAGAAGGAGCCCAAGAGGGCCCCAAGAGGGCCCAAGCAGGCCTCCTCTAGCAACCGCAGAAGGGCTCAAGAGGCCCCAATGGAGCCCCAAGAATAGCAAGACGGCTCGGGGCAACACACACACACACACACACGCACACACACACGCGCGCGCGAAAACAATGATGGGGAACAGGCTATCCAATGGCGTCCCATCCTGCCCACACCGTTCCCCCAGTGGTTTCCCAAACGGCCCACGGAACACGCAGGCCACAAGCGTGGCCGCACTTTCGCTCGACATTTCACGACGCAAGCGCTTCCAAACGGCAGGGAGCGGCGGTGACTGATTCGGTGTAGGCGCCCTCGGTCGGAAAAGCAAGGAGCGTCGTCCGCATATGTTTGAGCTGCTGCCGGATCGACAACGACGAGAATTTCAGGGGGCGACTGTTGATGAAGGAGTATCGCAAGTACTCGTCGCAGTGGGTGCAGTCCGCGCGAGTTGAGCAGGGAAGGGAGCAGGGACAGCACAGGCACGCGCCCAGGCTGAGCGATCTCGTCTTTGGCACGAGCGCTACCTGTCCACATGATGGTTGGTTGGAGCGGACTTTGTCGCGGGGTCCTCCCCCCCGACCTTCTCATCCTTCCCTTCCTCGCACACGAACTACTCTTCAATCCCCCGGGTCCCAGCCTTGCTTGTCGAAGACGATGTGGCAGCATTTCTATGCCGCGGCACCCACACCTCAAGCACAGGGTCGTGGCAACAATGGCGAAGAACATGGCAATGTTGTGTGCGTCTGATCATCTGTCGACGATTAAAGCAGCGCGTTCACGGAAACGACACTCGAATGAGAAGGAGGAAAGCATGGCAAGCGGAAAGTGGTAGAAGCAGTGAAGGCTGACGCATAGTGCAAGTAGGGCCGAAAGAAACATGATATAACGGCAAATAATGGAAAATTACGGTGTGGAGACACTCTGCCGTGATACGACCTGAGATGTAACAGCACGAATGCTCTCGAATGTGCCAGGATTCGAACACGAGGCCGGCCAACCAGCACTTGGTCAGCACAAAGCGTGGTACAGTCCGCCAAGCTTGGCTTGACCTCGAGAATGTAGCCAAAGGCACGCGGGCACACGCAGCGGATCGAAGTGAAACGGCCAATCCACAGAGGTTTAAGCCAACCCGCACCCTCTTTGCACGCAACAACTGCATCGCAGCCGTGCAGCACATCCGCCCGAACACTGCACACCGAAGGTCACTCTGGCGAAGGATCTCTTTTACGCATAGCCAGTGGATGTCGGCCTCGGGGGACTGTTTTCGGCCCCCTGGGGTAGAAAAGTGGCCCCGAGGAATGGGCTGGGACCTCTGGCGAGGATAAACAGAAATCAGATCGTCGGATGTCCTGGGGGGGACAAGAATTGGTTCCCAGAGACCCGCTGCTTTGTTTGTGTATACGGGGCCAACACAGGCCCCGGCCCCTCATCGGAGCCCGCTCTTCATCCCGAGTCGCTTAGTGATGGCCTCGGAGGCCGAAAACGGTAAACAAACTGCTTGCTCGTGCTTTCAAGACGCTGAAGGTCTGGGCAGCGTAGCTCGGGTGTCCGTCAATGGAGGAGGCAATGATGGGGAATGAAGAAACGCACACCTTTCACGCACCTTTTGAGCATGCTGGGGCAGTTGAGGGCGCAGGGCGCATCAGGGCTCATTCCGGGCCCCCTCAGGGCCACTTCCCTGCAATCATCGACAACTCCACGTTTTTTCAATGAACAGAACAACAGCCAGTTCAGCGCTGGGTTCCAGGGGAGGGCTCGCGAGTGCTACTGGAGCCGCCCAAGCACCGACCTGACCAATCAGCCGTGCCACAGCGAGACAGATCAGTGCTCAGGCCTCCCAGGCATCACCTGAAGTGACTCGGCCGATGCGAACACTGACCATACCCTTCTCCTCCTCCTCCTCCTCCTCCTCCTCCTCCTCCTCCTCCTCCTCCTCCTCCTCCTCCTCCTCTCCTCCTCCTCCTCGTCCTCCTCCTCCTCCTCCTCTTCCTCCTCCTCCTCCTCCTCCTCCTCCCCGGGGGCCACAACTGGAAGTGGATTAAGCCTACCGTCTGGGCGTGCAGAATGTGCTACGCGAGGTGCAGGTCCGAGCTCCCGCCCCGGACAACCGCGCGCCCTGGCCACAACGCTGACTTCACAGCCATGTCGGCGAACCCTCGAGGCCATCGCGTTTTTATTGCCCGCCATGACGAGGACCAACTGACCTTCGTTTGTGCTGCACTCGGATGCATCCGTCAGGGGCGGAGAACCACGAATCAATCATAGAAGTGCACAGAAAGGTTCACAAGCTCGCACAACCGTAGCAAATGGAACCAGGTTTTCCAGCGCAAGCATCCGGACCCTTCCGAAGGAGAGTCGAAGATGCCTGACGACTTGCTCCCTCTGGCTCGCTTTTTGTTGACGCAGGGGCGGGGAACTCGTAAGCAGACTGTACCCGCCTCCCTCCTCACTCCGCTCGACCATCCGTCTTCCTCTCCTCGTCGCGCCCCCACCCCCTGCGCCCCAGTGCGTCTGCGGACGTGCGCAACGCGGGCCGCCCGATTTTAGAACATTCAGCCAGGCACTGTTGAGGCTGCTGACCGCTGCTCCGCCTGGAGGTCCCAATCCCAGCACCTCAGAGGGCTGGTCCCGAGGAAGAAAAACAACACAACAAGCCCGACGAAAACCTAAACACATGCAGATGCGAGCCCCGCACTGAGGTTTTTTCGGTGGAGCTCCTTAGTGGGGCCGCGAACCGTGTGAGGGGTGTGCCGAATTTGGCGCGGTGGTGGCATGCGAACCCTCCCACTGGAGCCTTCGGTGGAGCTCCTTATGGGGTCACGATACGCGTGAGGGGTGTGCCGCAGTGGGCGCGGTGGTGGCATGCGAACCCTCCCACTGGAACCTTCGGTGGAGTTCTCTAGAACCCTCCCTCTGAAACTTTCGGCGGAACTCCATATGGGGCTCCGAACCGTGTCAGGGGTGTGCCGAATTGGGCGCGGTGGTGTCATGCGAAACCTCAAATTGGAGCCTTTGATGGAGCTCCTTATGGGGCTGTGAGGGGTGTGCCGACTTGACCGCGGTGGTGCCATGCGAACCCTCCCACTGGAACCTTCGGTGGGGCTCCCTATGGGGCCACGAACCGTGTCAGGGGTGTGCCGAATTGGGCGCGGTGGTGCCATGCGAACCCTCCCACTGGAGCCTTCGGTGGGGCTCCCTATGGGGCCACGAACCGCGTGAGGGGTGTACCGAATTGGGCGCGGTGGTGGCATGCGAACCCTCCCTCTGAAGCTTTCGGCGGAGCTCCCTATGTGGCCACGAACCGTGTGAGGGGTGTGCCGAATGGGGCGCGGTGGTGTCATGCGAACCCTCCCATCGGAACCTTCGGTGCACCTCCCTATGGGGCCACGAACCGCGTGAGGGGTGTGCCGAATTGGGCGCGGTGGTGCAATGCGAACCCTCCCACTGGAACCTTCGGTGGAGTTCTTTAGAACCCTCCCTCTGAAGCTTTCGGCTGAGCTCCCTATGGGACCACGAACCGTGTCAGGGGTGTGCCGAATTGGGTGCGGTGGTGCCATATGAACCCTCCCACTGGAACCTTCGGTGGAGCTCCTTCTGGGGCCTCGGACCGCAAGAAGGGTGTGCCGAATTCGGTGGGGTGGTGCCACGCGAACCCTCCCCTTGGAGCCTTCGGTGGGGCTCCCTATGGGTCCACGAACAGTGTGAGGGGTGTGCCGATTTGGGAACCTTCGGTGGAGCTCCATATGGGGCCACGAACCGTGTGAGGGGTGTGCCGACTTGGGTGCGGTGGCGCCATGCGAACCCTCCCTCTAGAGCCTTCGGTGAAACTCCCTATGGGGTCGCGAACCGTGCAAGGGGTGCGCCGAATTGGGCGCGATGGTGCCATGCGAACCCTCCCACTGAAGACCTCGCTAAGACCGAGAAGACCACACTTGGAGCCTACCTATGCCACGCCGTCTGGACGATAAGCAGGATGACATCAGCAGGGTACGAGGTGGAGTCAGACCTATGTCAGTGCGGGGCTGAGCAAGACGATGTCCCGCGCAGCCTCCTGAGATGCCCAACAGACTGAGCCCTACAGATAGAACAATTTCACGGCAGAAGAACTTGAGTTTATAACCAACCAGGCCAATTTTCACTTTGCCGCTGGGTTCCAATTGGAACCAGACTTCGACATCGGAGCCCCAGCTGGGCTCCATGTGATTTGGTCTGGGGACCCCGCGGCTACCCCCGAAACGGCCCTCGTTGGTAAGGTTTCCGCGGGTGGCTCGTGTTTAAAGACAGGCAACAAGGCCCGTCTCACAGCGGGCTGGGCGGTCGTCAAGACCAACGAAGCCGGTGAGGTTACCGCGGCATTCACAAGCCAAGTCGACCGACGCCTCCCTAAATCCTCGCCCCCTGCTGAGCACTCTGCTGTACTTGCTGCTCTCTCCTCCTCCTCCTACTCCTCTTCTTCATCCTCCTCCTCCTCATCATCCGCATCCTCCTCCTCCATTGTCAGTGAGATATATGTCGAGTACCAGGCCATCATCGACTTGTGTGTCTTTGTCCCGGCGAAACAGATACGCTTGGATAGGTCTCCTGGCGCGGGCAGCCAGAGGCTGGCACCCGCAACTGCGTTTTTTCGAAAGTCAACGCCCACCAGAGCCTCGACTCCCATCCAGTTGGGTCGGACGAGTGGGCCGCCGCTCAAAGCAACCACGAGGCCGACAGATTTGCTGGAATCGCCTCGGGAGTCTTCCACCGACCCTCGGACGCGCAAGTAGACAGCTTGGCCTCAAGCATGTGTCTTCTTAGTGAATTCACCGGCCCAACGGGCAAGAGGCGTGCTAAGGTGCTAAGATATCCGGTAACTGCTTTATAATATTTCTACTTCGCGCGCGGGGGGGGGGCCTGGGGGTCCCCGGAGGAAAAATACCCCGGCAGGGTCAGATCAGATATGGTTTTCCGTCTGGGCGCCGCCCTCGAGACCCTCCAGAGAGCCCCATGAAGGGTCAAGAGGCCTCCAAGAGGCCCCAAAGATGATACAAGAGGGCTCGAAGATGCCACAAGATCGCTCCAAGACGCCCAAGATGGCCCCCAGACGCCCCAAGAGGTCTCCAAGAGCACTCTCAAGAGGGCCCCAAGATGCAAAAAACATTGCTCTTCCTTAGGTTTGGGACAGATCATGGTGTGTCCACCTTTGCGGTTTCCCGACGCCCCAAGACAGCCCAAGAGGCCCCAAAGATCGCCCCAAGAGGGCCTAAGAGGCCCCCAAGAGGGTCCCAAGACGGCCCAAGAGTGCATCTCTTTTTCCAGTAGACTGCTTGAGGCACGAAGCCTGGCACAGGAAGCTTTGGCAGGCGGCACTCGCCGCTCCGTGAAAGAGAAAGTCTGGAGGCAGTGGGCTGGCCTAGGGAGCCAGAAAGACTATGGAGCGGAGAATGAAACGGATCTGTGCGATGCAAACTCGTTGCACAACGTACATGCATCTCTTTTTCCAGTAGACTGCTTGCGGCACGAAGCCTGGCACAGGAAGCTTTGGCAGGCGGCACTCGCCCATAACCAACAGTACCCGTCAGCAAGCATTGCGCTGGTTAGCCGTGCATTAACATCCATTTACGAGGGACAACTCGAGCAACAATAGTCTGCGAGAACATGCACGCGAGCTGTCGGCAGATGGCATCTGGATAGGAGGCTATTCGGCGC